GTAGGTGAAGTAGCGTCCGACTTGGAGATCAAACTTGTCTCCCGCTGGAGTAGGGTAGGCGCACAAACCCAGAACTGCCTCACGCTCAGCCGGAACCACTCCTGCCAAGAGGGCAGTATGAACATAGCAACTCTCTGCGCCGCCAGGGACTGGCCCATCTGCCTGAGAAAGGTAAAGCCCTATGCACTAGTAGGCTCTGGTGCCGGTCAAATGACCACGCAACAAGGCCTTCCCGATCCGTACTACCCGCCTTAACAAAAGTGTGGGTACCAGGATCAGAACGGGGAACCAGTGGAGAAGGTTGTGGTACCGTGTGAGTGTCCCACATCGGGACCCATCAGCGCTTCATGTAGCCCCTATGGGGTATCGATTCACCCAACGGAACGCATTAGACGTGACCGCACCGAAACCAGGTTCAAGCTGTTTGTCCTTTTCTCCCAAAGGGTACCAATCGCCCCCTCCATCGTCTTCTGAGCCCCCTCCATAGCCTGGGTCACACAAGGCACCCAGGGGAGTTGGCCATTGGGCGTGAGAGGGGAGAGTGCTGATGAAAACGAGTACAAAGGCAACTCCCCCATGGGGGAGGGGGGCTTTATCACCGGCCACGTACGAAACAGGAGTCTTGCGACCATCACTGCCCGGTTCACAAGCTGCGACCTTAACTGCATATTAGTAAGGGACAGCTGGGTTCCGGTTGGTTGGGTATCCTGTGACCCGTTGGGGAAGTGGTAGCTGCACCCAATAAGAGGGTTGCATACGAGGGTACCAACACTGGAGTCCCCTCCCCTCGCAGAGTCATCAGTGGGGCCACTCTGCGCGGCTTGGAAAGATGCAGGAAACAATGCATGGTCAGCCCAAGCCTGAGAGGGAGAGATACGAATGCGTAAGGTGATCCGTTCCAGTGAGAGGGCCCCCCTCTATAAAAGAAGTGGACGCTCCCTGACCCTAGCCCTGGTGGTGGAGGGACAGGCAGTATCTCGGTCCGTGCTTGCTTGCCACCTTGACTAGTACCGGTAAAAGAAAGCAACGGGGCATGTCCCTGTGATTGCGCAATCCACTCATTGAACCGGTTCAGTCTCTAAAGGCCGTTCCGATTCCACCTCGGAACTCTGTGTCGACGTCAGCGTCACAGTGGGAACATGCTGTTCATCAACATCATCAATCTCCCAGCAAAAGCGGTTGAAGGGTGTTAGTCAGCCTCGGATAATATCCAGTAGGGAAAATTTAGATCCACGCCAATGTTCCCGTGCTATTGACCGACATCTTTGTTACCTCAACAGGTAAATGGTTCTGAAGGTCTTGTCTCAATCATAGATCCCGCTACCTCGAGCAGGGAGTCAGATCATGACAACTCTCAAACAATCTCGACGATTACCAAGTAGAGAGACAGATTTTTCACTCATTGAATCAGACATTACATAGCTAGCTTGCGGCTAGGGATTTTCCCTTTTATCGCGACTACCAGCTTTTAATCGCTTGCCTTCAGCTTTCCACCCTCAAGCAATGCCCTGAGTCCCGACGCAACCGAGCGTGAAAGGCAATAGGCAGGACCCAAACAGACATCTGTTAAAGGCAGGATGAGCATGTCTTACTGTTGCGTTGGGACATACTTCATCTTTTTTATGACATAGGCATATTGCAGTCTGAAATAATTACGAAAAATGAGATAGTGAAAAAACGTAAAAATTCACCGCGCCAGAATTCGGAACCCTGTGAATAAAAACTGAGTTGGCGATTCAACTAACACAGGTAAAAAAAAAAGCGGGGCCCCTAATAATGGAAAGCCTTTAACCGTAATAGAGTCGATCACCAATACTAGATTCCTAGATAATCTCAGTCATAAAACTGTAACCTGCACTCTAGTCCATGCGTCGCAACGGACCTGAAAAATATCTGTACTCGTTGGTCACGGAAACAAGAGAGATCGGATTGGTCAGGCCTCACGAGCGTGAGTATCCTGAGGGTAACACCTTAGGAGAGGCCTTTTTTCTATAAGGAATGCTACACTAAGGTGTTCTTTGTGAACAGGGTATATTCTCTAATACATGTAGTTTTCGATCGAGGCTGTAATCTGAAGTTAAGCTTTCTGGTAGGTGATGTAGTAAACTAGCAATTTTGACCAAAAATGACAAAAATATTCGCTATAAATAAGGCAATTGAACATATCCACACGAAATGAACAAATCTGAAAGAGAACCACCCAAGATACTATCCTAGAAAGTTTCACAGCTATACAGTTTGTGGTTGGCGATGGCGACGGAGATGACGGACAATCAGTAATACTATAAGCTCCGCACGACTTTGTCGACAACGGAGCTAAAAATTTGAACATAATCAGACAAAGCATATCAGAGATATGCCTCTAGAAGTGCATTCATTTAAACAAAATGGCCACCAGTCAACCATTCTCAATCCAATCTTAGGGTAGAAATGCAGTTTACCTGACAGGTATTTTAATTAGTTGATTAGGAAACCAAGATGACCTCCCTTGTCCACAAAACTATATATTTTCGGAAAGCTTATTGTATGAATTTTTAAGTTTTGTTAGTATTTTATTTTTATTGGCACTGTAGTTTGAAATATGCACAACAATGTGCTTTTTTGGTCAAAAGTGATTTAAAAAAAATTAGCTTCTAAACCATGCTTCTGTTTCCTGTCAAAATTGGTTTATGGGTACATCTGTTTACTATGAAGAAAGCGCCGTCTTGAAAACTGTCTACCAGTTGTCAATTTTGTAGGGCAGCAGCTCAAATTTCACTACTTCAAGTTTATGCATAAATTAACACCCAGGCTAGTTGTCTGTACGATTGCTTAACACTATTCAACTAAAAACAATGCCCCGACGGCGTTTTGAAGATAAACACATTGTCAATCATTTGTGAAAATTTCAAAACAAAAGGTCTAGGAGCTATTTTTTTTTTAAAGTTCTGGAATGTGCACTAAAAAGAAGCTGAGATAATTACTAATTTGCATAACAATTCACCCAGTAAGAAGTTTGCTAATGCTCATAATTAAAATGGATGTTACAGTTCCGAATTTAAATGTATTATCGTTTTGTAAAAAGTTAAAAACAGTGCATAATATGGAAATCCCGTCATTTCTTTTTTTCACCATGTATTTTTTTTTTTATTATTTATGTACAGCCTTGCTAAATCTTGCTAAGCATTCAAAAGAGATAATTTTGCACCTGTTATCTATATTTTAAAATCGTTTTTTGAGTATGTTCCACTATTCACAATTCTACAAAATTTCAACAGTGTATAGCCAAGACTTTTTGGACAATAACAAGCAAAAAAAAAAAATTTCACTCCCAAGTGCCTACGAACCTGCATCTCTACCTTAAACAAGACATGAATATCAAAGTCCCCGTTATAAAGTAGTACAAGGAACATCTGCAAACAGGTGAATGAATATGAATCTACGAAGTGCAACAAAACTATTTGTCATACATGTATACTTGCTCAAGAAATTGCATTCATAAATCTGAGTGAACCTTGATGTACATGACTTGTTTGTTAATTAAGGTCTTAGTATATTACCAGGACCTGGGTCAAATCAAAGTTCAAA